GTTGCTATGTACAATGATCGGGTGGCTCCAACTTATAGTGGGGAGCTGCACCTGCTGGAAACCGGGTCCAGCGTCCCGTTGATACATCTTGTAGATCAGCAATTGTTCTTTGTTTCCTGGGGCTGTGGTCATTTGTCTTGCTGGACTGGGACTCCGTCGTCCCCTGGAGCTGCTAGTAACACCCATCCCATTCTTGGAGCGCCCATTATCAGTTAACCCAGCCCTATTCAGCAGCCCCCCATACTCAGACTGTGCCTGTATCACACACCAGGAGCTGACCACTGGCTTCACTGTCAAGCCCGTCTTCCTTTTGTGCTCAGACTGTGCCTGTATCCCCTTCCACCCTGCTTAACTGGCCTACTCTCAGACTTCCCTGGCCGGCATTCGAGAAGAAGGTCAAGATGGCAGAGGCAGAGGGGACTATGCCGTGGCTGAGCGGGGGTATCATGGGGCTGTCTGGGGAGATCGTGGGAGAGAGAGCAGGGGTGGAGGGAAGGGGGGAGGCGGGGCTGGCAGGGAGGGGGCGGGCGGTTGCAGTGGGGGGGTGCGGTCGGGGGTGAGGTGATCGGGCACAGTCCGGTTGCGGGATGAGAACAAAGTTTGTGGGTTGGTGTGTAACCTGAAAGTGGTCCCTTGGCATCCTTTCCCACTGCCTTTCCGATGACAACCAGTTCTGCCACTTCAGGGAGTGGGTATTGTCAAGGGTGCACAGTCTCTCATTGGTATCAATCCAAGTGGTTTTGAAGTTCTCCAGTATGTGTCGTTTTTTGGCCATTTCCGGTTCATCTCGTAGGTCAGACAACATCTGTCTCCAGGCCTATTGGGTATTGGCAGTGATTGTCTCAATGATTGTTGCCCGTGCTTGCATAAATCCGAAATCATGTTGCTTTCTTTCGTAGGCACAACGCATCCTCCAGGCAGCCATCAGCACCGTCAGTCTGGAGTAGGAGAACAGGTTTGTCATGAATGGTGTCATGAGAACCTTTTTTGTCATTTCCCATTGAGCCCTGAGTTCCGTTTGTACAAATTGTTGAATTAAATCTGCCATTTCCATGCCTTTAATCTTTCACACCCTCCATTGTATTAACACATTTGTGATACCATAAAGCCCACAAAAGTGACAAAACTGCTTTCCTTCCTATATTAAAGAAATTGTGTTGAAAATTGGATAGTGAGACCAGGGGCGGATTCCAGTGGCCCAAAAGTATAGCCCTCCAATCCCATGGCCATTCCAAGCTTGTCAGTCTTTGCCATACATAATCCCAACGACATCATAACAAGACTGCACCTGGGGATTACAGAAACACATGCTCGATTGTTTCCCTGATTTTTCTACGAGGAAAGGCCTGTACACATGACTGACACCATGGTAGACCCAAACCTCTTTGTTCCACTGTAGAGCGGTCTATCAGCCAATCATTGGTTGGTAAACACCTATGAACTATCTGCCATTGCAACGATGCAAACTTTGCAGGTCTCTCCTTGAGCCCCTGACACCACTTAACTGGTTTGATTAAATCCTTTCGAATGTTGAGATGACGAGTCCAGCGATCTTGCACAATATCTTGAACATTTATTTTGGGCCGCAATAGCCGGTGGGGTGCTTTAACTGTCAGGGATTGCAATCTTTAGGGTTTACACATCCTATTAGCACGCCAGATCCAATCAGCCGGGTCCAAAGGGAGTTCCGGAATGGGATAGTGTGGAAGGAAAACTGTCCATACTTTGGTTGATGAGCAAAAAAAAAAAAAAAAAAAAAAAACCATTTCTGGATTTTTACGCATCATGCTGTTGATTAGCGAACAAAGAAAAAAAAAAAAAGGACGAGCATCTGTCAATAATTTTTTTATTAGGGAAAAGAAAACTAGGGTGCAGTCACGGTTTCAGTTTGAAAATCCGTTTCAGTCACGCTTCTTTGGTGAATGTTGCTCCAAAGCGAGGAAAATCTTGAACGTACAGGGGCGGGTGGGATGTGTTGTAGTCGAGGGATGCCTGAAGTGGATTTAAAACTGAAATCGTGACTGCACCCTAGCTACCCCTTTTTATTAATTTGCCAATTTGGACCAATTTTGGGATTTCTATGTGTGATGCTGCTTGGGGGCAATGCTCGTCCTCTCTGTACCATTCAACTTTTGAGATGATCCCCCAGAGGACAAGAGTAATTATTTGTCATGAAATATGTGCACTTGTTCAGCTTTGTTGTGTGTTATCTAATTGAGGCCTCATGCACTTCCCCCCACCCCTCCCTCCCTCCCTAACCCCCAGCCCCCCTCCCCCCCACTTCCTTTATGGGGTTTTATGTACAGGGAGGTGGACAGATCAGTGTACCGTGCAGCTCTTCTTCCCGCTTCCCTGTCTTAAACAGCCAGTACATGGCCGCAGTCCTGTAGAAGTTTGTTCATCCCCTACTGAACCACAATGGCTGGAGGCGCCGGCCAAAAAACGAAAAAAAGTGTGCTGCTGGCGGTTAGGTAAAGCTTGGAGTGCAGTGCAGCGCCACCAGTCCCAGCTGGGGACCTGGCTGAGGCTGACTCTTCTTCTTCTTCTTCTTCTTCTTTTTTATTATTATTATTAGGCTGACTCTTCTTCTCTGCGTGAGATGCTGAGAGGTCTGGGTTCTGGGCTGGGGGTGGGGCATGCTTCCAGCCCGCTTAATAGCCAGATTCTCGGTATCTGGTCGTTAATCTGCAGAGTCTACGAACATAAACCTAGAATTGGGCTAAGTGGGGCCTCGGTCCTCTTTCTTTTTTTCTTTTTTACAAACACGCTCCGATCTATTCGTGGGGAGCAGCACGTGCTGGGAACCGGGCCAGCGTTTCTTATAATGAGAGATTACATTGGGGATACAATAATGAAGATTGATGATGATTTGAGAATGATTCAACGATTAGACGAGGTTTAGACATATTAAGAAAATCTGATCAAATGAGCACTCTACTTCTATCCCTAATTCCAGGTATCCTTATCAACCTAGCCTACTCCAAACCTAGCTCTGCCGTTGTTTCATCCAGGCCTATTCCCGGTCTCATACCCCCAATCAGAGTAGGTTACAGGGCGGCGCGGCCCACCCCAGCTGTGACCATCATCGACCCGGAAGAAGTCCACGGTCAGTCACTGGATTACCTTCCACCTGCGGCAATCCCCAGATCTCTCTACAAGGCCTTAAGCTCCTGCATACACAGGTACAGGGCAATGCCCCAGCACCAGGGCTAGCCATGACCCAGCCCCGGTGGAAGCGGAATCAAACGAACCTCGTCGCACGGGAACTTCGGACACCAGGCCGAAGCAATCTCCTACTAGCCCCTAAGTTGACCAGATAGGCCTGTCTCTCTCTTTTTTTTTTTTTTTTTTTTTTTTTCAGAAACATCGCGGTCGGGCGTGGGGGGGGTGCTGATAAGAGCAGACACCCCCGCTACGCCCGCTGTTTGCGAATGACTCCGTTCCATTGGTGGGGAGCTGCACCTGCTGGAAAGCGGGTCCAGCATCCCTTAACATTTAGGACAGGGAGCCAGTGTTTACAATGTTGTGTTGGCTGGTTTTTGCAGGACCCCAATCAGGCAGAACAATGCAGAGATTCCTTTCTCTAGGCCTAGATGAACTTGGTGTTACAGTGCCATGTGTATCATGATCAGAGCCCGCAGTTTACGATCCCTAATTTGCCTGGACTCTAATCAAGCACGACAATGCCTAGTCCCCTGTCACGAGGCCTGAAATGGACTTGTAGTTGCAGTGCCCTATGTACCCTGGTCACAGTCCACAGCTACAAATGTCATTCAGTCCTGGGCTGTTGTTCCCATAGCCCACACCAGTCCAATCATGCAGAACAATGCAGAGATCCCTCTCTGCAGCCCTAGATGAACTTGTTGTTTCAGTGCCATGTGTACATGATCAGAGCCCACACTTTACAATCCGTAATTTGAATGGACTCTAATCAAGCACGACAATGCATAGCCCCTGTCGTGAAGCCTCAAATGACCTTGTTGTTGCAGTGCCCTTTGTACCGTGGTCAGAGTCCCCACGTCACAGCCCACTGCTACAAGCCTCTTTCAGTCCTGGGCTGTTGTTCCCGTAGCCCACACCAGTGCACCGGCCGAAGACTTCGCTTACCAGAATGCTGAGGTCTGTTACATCATGCCCCAACTGTTCCACCGGTGGGGAGGTACTTGTACAGGAATCCTGGTCAGGGCGGAAACAGGACACAAAGGTAGCCGCTAAAGATGTCAGTGATGTAGCAGGGCAATCTTCTTTCAGCCGAAATACCTTCCCGGGAGGCCGGATTCAGGACACGGAAGATAGAGGCTGAAGATGCCACTGTTGTGGCAGGGCAATCTTCTTTCAGCCGAAGCACCTGCTAGTTGTAAAGTCATAAAGTCGCCAGTTTTGTGCTGGCAGTCACGTCTTGTAGTCCTTTTGCCACGTGGCTGTCGATGTCTTGTCGTCGTCGTCATCTGTGGACAGCTCATCAACCCTGGTCAAGAATGAATTTAGGACAGATATTCGAATGTTTATTAGGAAGTGGAACCCCTCCACCCCTGAATTGTCAGTCCGTGTAGTGACTCCTGCGACGCTCTGAGCGCCCGATTGACAAGGTTGGGGACCCTGGGTAAGTTGTGTCTGAGGCCAATTTGCCATTCGCCTTCAGGGCGGGTTCGTCTGACCGGGAGGATGACCACCCCTGGTTTGACCGTCTGTTGCACCTCCAACCCAGCCGCATCTGCTAATGCCTGGCCAAAGGTGGTCCGCCTTCCCTGTGGACGGTGTGTGTGGTCAGTTGGTGTTGCTGGCCGTGTGTGCACAGCCGGTTCTTGTGTGGGAACCAGAAGCCGTCCGTCCTGGGACAGACAGGCTTGATGTTGCCCTTCTGTTGGCTGCCTGTCTTGGCATGAGGGCCTTAGCACTATCACTTCAGTGTGGGTCTCAGGCTGTTGTGAAGGAGACAGCAGCATGAGTGTTTGGGTAGGTGTGGTTGGCTCATGAGGCTGAAGGAGGTCCACACGTACCGTGGTTAGCATCAGGGGGTCCCATTCGAAGTCAAGTTCTGATTCAGAATTGGAGGTATCGGAGGTGTCGCCTGGCATCCGTTGTGGCTGATCATCGAGTTCGGGGTCTGCTGATGCGATCGCCCCGTCGGAGGCAGGCCGGGATCCAAGTCGAGGGCGCGGGACAATCTGCAGGTGTAACAGGGGGAGCAGCAGGTGTGATGGCACCAGTTGTTCTGCCGCATTCCCTTTTGTCACTACTATGGCGCCCTCCCTTTGGGGACCCTGGATCGCCGTCTCCAACTCTTGAATTATGACCTCCGGCCACTGTAGTCCATCATGGGACAGTCCAGGTCGGCAGGGGAGGGCATCCAGCTGCACCAGAGCTGTTCCGAGGTCTGTACCCACTATGTTATTTTCTGCACAGGGGGGGTGGCGGATCTTATGGATAAGGGAGTGAACTGCCTCCAAGATGAGGGAGGCAACCAGTTTCCAGTCGATGGAGGCCGGGTCAGGTGCCCTGTCCAGGTAATGGATGACTGTGTTCGAAGCCATAAACGCTCTCCTTATGTTCTCCCAATGCAAAGGGGGGATGTTGGTATGGTCACCGTGCATGGATGTCCTGAGCAGGCCCATGAGGACTGCATCTGTGACAGCTTTCATTCTGGCTCTCACCCGCTTGTCTTTCAACAGGCTTTGGGGCTGTCGTGTATCACTATTGCCCAGTCCCGTCTTTTCTCCCGGTCGGACCTGTGGTTGTTGTGTGTTGTTCAGGTCATGTGCGGTAGGTTGAGTCTCGTCACTTGGCTTTGTCATCTCTGTGTCATCGCCCGGTTCGGGGGGCGGTGCCTCGCTATAGGTGCTATGAACCTCTTCTCCACCGCTCAAGGAGGGCACCGCCATGGGCTGTGTCTTTGCCATGCTATGAACCTCTTCTCCACCGCTCAAGGAGGGCACCGCCATGGGCTGTGTCATTGCCCTCTGTTGTTGGATGAGGGAGGGCACATCCCCCGGTTGTGTGACAGCCGTCTGTCCATGCATTAGTTGGGCATTGTGCTCTTGCCACATTGCTGCCATGTCCGGGGTCATGGTGAGGTTGCAGGGGCGTTGCACCTGCCAGTGTTGTTGGCCCCGTGTTTGCATCATCATTGCCATGTCCGTGGACAGGGCGAGACTGCATGGTGGCAGGAACTCCTGGTCGGGGGGGCAAGGCTGCAGTGCAGACCGTCCAAAGTTGGACCCCACCCGTTGGGTGTCGAAATCGAGGGGGGTCTGTGAGCCCGTGTCCAGGACCCCAGGAGGAGGGGGACCGGATTGGTCCATCGGGAACTGTCCCATGGTGTCGCCCGGTGTGCTCTCCACTCCCTCCATTTCCGTAGGGCGGGGGCCGGGGTCGGCAGGGAGATTGTCCCGGAGGGGCGGTTGTGGTTCCTCTGACCATTGCATGTTCTGCAGCGCAGAGCTTGTCATTTGTGTAAGTTTCTCTTTCCATTTGGTAAGGACCGTAATTCAAGATCCCGCCCTGGCCCAGTGGTCAGTCGCACGGCTCCCCTGGTGGTGCAGTTCATCCGTGGACCGGCTCTTTTTCAGTGGTCCGTTTTGGCCGTGATGCAGCTCAGGGTTGAGATGCGCACAGGCGGAGTTGTCAGCGTGGCCTGTAGCCGATGGAGCAGTTGCTGAGGGGTTGGCGGGTCTGTCGTTCCTGTTGGCTCCGTGGCACTATTGTGCTTCTACAGCAGATGGCTGGATCATCTGCGTGGCAGGGTTGTTAGCACAATCCCCCCCCCCCCCTATCGGCAGATGCTTCTGTTGTACTTCAGGCGTAGCCAGGGCTTTTGCATGGTTCCCCCCGCCCCCCTGTTTTCGGGGGGTGCCTCGTGCCACAGTGGGTGTGGAGGACGAGGCGGCTGTCTGTTCCTTGGGGCTCCCAGGCTCCAAGGAGCTGCGACTTGGTCTTTCTCCTGGTCGCAGAATTGTGGAGTTGGCCGGGGATCTGGGAGGGCGTCCCTTCGCTTCCCACTTCCATTCCCCGGGGCGCTTGATAGATGATCGGTGGAAGACCCATCCTTCAAAGAAGGGATCTTCCGGGATCCACCTTCCTGGTCCTTCTGGGTGAGGTATGACCAGTCCTCTCATTGCCTTACCCTGCATGTTGGGGCAATGAAGGTCAGTGGACAGGTGACCCCTGCATCTGCACGCGTAGCACCAGGGGTCCTGGGGGTGGTTCACTTGCACAGCGTAAGTCTTGTCCTCTTGTGAGAAGGACCATTGGCCGCTCACGGGAAACCCAACGGTCGGGTCCCAGTCCACTGCGACCAGCAGCGTGTCATCCCTTTTGGGGAGGAACTGGGGTGCGTCGTTGATATATCCGAAGACCGGGGCGATTTGATGCAAGTCTGCTAAGATCGCACCTTGAACGCTCAGCGGAGCGAAGCGAAACTCCACCCAGAAGTGGTTCCTCATGAGCTGATCTCTTTTCTGATCTGCTGTGAAAGGCGTGGGCGGTTCCCATGATCTGATCTGCACAGTGTGCCCCTTGTGCCGAGGGAGTGGTAATCTAAGCAAGTTCGCCTTATCAAGCGGGTAAATTGTGATGACCGTCACCACTCCCGGGGCAGCTGCTTCTATAAGGAAATGGTCTGCAACTGCATGGTCGCTGATTTTCACAGAACGCAGTCTCCCATTCACCCATCGCAGCTTTTCGTTAATCGGGACGTCTGCATATCCTGACGGGCGGGCCCTGCCGTCCGTGGGGCGCAAAGCGCTAGCGCTGTTTCGGATTGAGGATAGCCAAAGGTGTTCTGATAGGTCTGTCTCTACCACACACACACACATGAGATACTATCCCAGATATTATCCACAGGGCACAACCATGATACACAGTTTACCACATACTGTACACACACATAGCTCAAGGCACACTCACATGTACTAGTGGAGGTGATAAGAGCACCTCCCACCAGTACTCACTTTGCAGATGCTCCATGGTGGGGAGCAGCGTCTGCCATGAAATCGGATCCACACACACATTACAAACATACACATAGCCCACGGGCACACACCTATGCTACGAGTACATACACGCATACACAACCATTGGGCTGGGAGGAGGTCACAATCCACTGATAATGACGATAGGTGTCTCGATGATAAGTACCCCCCTTAAAATCAGCTAGGACTGCGGTGGGTGAGTAGAGGGCGTGAGTTGCTGGTTGGTCGGGATCAACTAATGATGATGATAGGCGTCTCAATGACAAATACCCCCCTTAAAATCAGCTAGACTGTGTGTGGCAGACTAGGGCTGTGGTGGGGGAGTAGAGGGCGTGAGTCACTGGTTGGTCTGGATTAACTGATGATGATGATAGGCGTTTCGAGCATAAGTACCCCGCCTTAGAATCAGCTAGGACTGTGGTGGGCGAGTAGAGGACGTGAGTTACGGCATTGTTCCTCAACACATGAAAACAGACATAACCTGCACAGTTACCCAGCAGCCGCCAGCCGCCCAGGGTGCAGTAAGACTCCCCCAACTCATTCCTGAATTAGCGCAGAATTAGCGCAGTGCAGCGCAACCGGACGCCTACCGGTCCCCCACCTCCACTCGGTGCGATTTTGTTCTTTTTTTTTTTTTTGACTTTTTGGAAACCTTGACATTGAGGCCCAAGCCCAGGATTCAGGAGCAAGGCCCAGTTTCAGGCCCTAACCTTCAAGTTGTTGTTTTTTTTCGGAAATGCACACGCCCAAGCCTCTGTTTTTTTTTTATTTTTAAACCTCTTGGATATCTTCAGGACCAGGCCTTTTTTGCTAGGTTACCAGGGCGGACGTTCGGGACCCCCCTGGATGTCCGAATTGTCCGATCGGACAACTCGGGAGATGTCTCCTGGAGACAGTATGTTCGACTCCCCCCCCCGCACCCCCCCCACAAAAAAAAAGAATTGTTTTTTGAAAATTTTTATGTGGGCTCCCCCTCACATGAGGTATATGCCAAAAGAAAATTGGCTCATTTGAGCCCATAGTAAAAAAGAAAAAAATCACCAAAGATGTCTTCGTCAATTTCAACCAAACAGGTCTATCTTATTGGGGTCAATTTCAATCACGTCCTCCCCCTCATCTCTCCCCCCAACCCCCTTTCCCCATGTTTTGCATTATATTTTTTTTGCTCTAAATGAGCCGAATTTTTTTTTATGGGGTCACCTCACGTAGCGCAGGGTGGCGCCTTTTTTTTTTCTTTTTTTTCGCTTTTAGTTTTGGAGAAAATGGTTGTCCGGGATCCCGGACAACTCCCACCCAGGACGTCCGCCCATCGGACGACTGGTAACCTAGCTTTTTTGTTTTTTCACTTCTTGGACATCCCGAGGCCCAGGCCCAGGTGGAGATCGGATTCAGGTGCAAGGCCCAAACCCAGGCCCAGGCTCAGATGCATTTTTTTTTTTTTTTGGAAATAAACAGGCCCAGGCCCAGGACCAAGGCACAGACACTGGGCAAGATTCAGGCGCAGGACACATGTCGAGGCCCCCGCCCAGGCCCACGTCCAGGCCTTCCGCTCATAAAGCAATCCCTGTATTGAAGGCTCCATCTATCGGTGGGGAAACGACCCATCCGCTAACCTGGTTAGGACCGCTTTTGGGCAATTCCACGTAAGCTCCCACATAGAACGGAAGGATCAGAAGGAGGGGGTCAGACACTGGATAGCTTTTGGCCATCTCTGTTGCAAACCTGGCGTAAACTCCCGCTCCCCAACAGGACCCACCCCAACCGCTGGGAGGAAGTCTATCGTCAACCCCTCTTCGGAAATAGATGGGTGACAGATACGAGGGGCTGTGTTATGACGAGCTCATCCCCACCCTGAAAGAGTTGGGTCAGGCATGGAGTACTCAGGGTAAGGGATCTCTGGGACATGGATAGGCAGGACTGGATAACAGGGGATGAGCTGCGTACGACTTTAAGATACTGCCACCACATAGAGGAGCTATTGGAAAACCTTATTGAGGCCATTCCACTGGAGTGGTATCGCATCCTCAAACATGGATCGACCCTGAAGGAGGGGGATTGGGTTGCGGACAGTGGGACCCCACTGATAATAGGCCTGATACATATGGTTTCGCCCCGAGTAATCTTGGTTGAATACCATACTTGCACCAAAACAAACACCCTTCATGCAAGCGGGGCTCCCTTCGAATGGAAAGATAGAACATCAGTGTACCGCGTAAGAGTTATAGAAGAGAAAGGAAAAAGGGTGGCGGTCCAGCCAGACAAACCAATCCAGGCCTTGCCTTTGGACCCGGCGGAATGGACGTGGCAACCCCTCCAAAAGAAAGAAGCCCCCAAGACAAGTCATATTAGCCTGCACCAACTAACGGTTAAATCAGCCTACAAAATGCTCAGACCCAAACGTTATCTAAAGGATCTGATCAACGATAGATGGACCAGACACTTGAATGTGGATCGCTCCCTCCTATCACCAATCCAATAGTTCAAGGAACAGAAATGCAAGCCCATGAAAATCACCTCCCTCCAGTGGCAGATAGCCCACCATTGTCAGCCAACCAACGACTGGCTAACTGACCAAACAAACCTCGAACAAAGAGGCATAGTACTCCCATGGTGCCAGCGGTGTCAGAGTCTTTTCCCCTCCCACAAGAAGGCAGAAACTATTGAACATATTTTCATGCAATGCCTGATTGCCCAATTCACATGGAGATGATGGGACCGTATATGGCGTAAGATGGAACCAGACACTCCCTGGCCCTGGACATGGCAAGCCATACTGGCTGGCCACTGGGTTTTGGCAAGAACAACCACGACCTTCGTAGAGAATATGTACAGACTTGGAAGGAGGGCAGTAATATGGGCGCTCTGGTGGCAGAGATGCAACCTGGTCATGGAAAACGTAGGGTGGAGGGGGCAGAGATCACATAACAGATCTAACAACAAATACACCTTGAAATCACACGTAGATGGTTGGACACCAAAGCACAGTTAGCCCTCCTCATACAAATTGGAGATGTCAGGAGACGGATTACGGCATTTTGCACGGACTGGATAGGAGGGGAAAGAGCGGGATGGATGGCAAAAATAGAATGGAGTGGGGACAAGGATGGAGAGATGCGTGACCTGAAAGAAATAAGGGACTACCGGTTAGTTTTCAAAGACTGGACTAACATAGAACCCTCTTTTCCATTGCGCCCTCCCTCGGACTTCCCAGACCCTTTCCCGCCCCATACCCTGTCATTGGCACCAGTTCTGCCCTGAATGTGATATCTGATCCCTGTAACCCCTGTAACCCCCTTTGTTTCTGTATCAATGCCCGAACGCGGAACTCCTCCCTGGTGCCCCCTGGGGAAGATCACGATAAGGATAGCCTGAGCAGCCTGAGACATAGGGCAGGATCTGGAGGTAGTTTTGAGGTCGTCAACCAATTGTATCAGTAGTATCAGCTCTGAAAAGTTCATTTGGCGCCCTCCTCCGAGGGTGAAGAGATACGCAATACTCCATGCTCATAAAGGACTACACTACTGAACACTCTACAGATCTGCTCAGTCAATCCCCTGATTTGGAGGGCAATCAATGCTGGCAGGTCCCATCTTATACTCCCTAGATATCCTCAGACATTCTCAGATATTAATTTTTGTAATATGGGACGTTGGACCCGTTTTCCAGCAGGTGATGCTCCCCACCAATAGATGGAGCCTCTCCCTAGGTGTTAGTGGTGTCTGCTCTTATCAGCAGCACTAACACTACCACTAACACTGGCGGGGGCGTTTAAAAAAAAAAAAAATAATAATAATAATAATAATAAATAAAAAAATCTATAGACTGAAAGCTTCCCAAAACGAGGTTTTTTTTTTTCTTTTTTCATGGCCAACCGGGAGACTCCCCTTGGTACCCAGCCATTGTCCACTACCCGGGCATTGCTCAACCCCCACCTATACCTTCACCCTCTTCCTCGCCCTCAACTCACCCCTCTCCCCTCCCCCTGTTCCGTTCTCCATTGTACTTGACATATTCATATATCTGGCTGTGCATCCTTATCCCACTCCTTTTATTACCATATCTCCAGATCCGTGCACTCATCATTATCCTGTCCCGCTTTCCCCATAAAGCCACCTATTTTTCGATTACTTCATGAAGTGTGCTCATTAACAGAGATCATCGTGTCCAGCTGATGTAGCTCAGTGGTTAGAGCACCGGTTGGAAATGCGCGTTGTGGTATAAGGTTGCGGGTTCAAAACCCCGCAGCCTTGCGCATGGACACCGGCAGGGCGTTAGATTGACACACGGCTGGACGCACATCCCCTTGGGCTGACGCATGGTACTATTACAGACACTGCCTGCACACCACCCAAGGGTAGTCCACGGTGTTGTATGTTGGTTGTGTGTTTCACAGGGTTTGCTTGGGGTGTTGGTCTCGGGTGTTCTGATGTTCTCCCCAGTCTTGCATGTCACACGATCATTCCATTTCTAGTAGGTGGTTGCTCATACGGTAGAGTCTTGGATTACACGTCACAAGGTCACGGGTTCAAGCTTGGTTTGGCCCTTGGGGGGGGTCCTTGTCCAGCTGGCCCGTTCTCTCCTCAATACATGATTCACGACGTACACATAGCTTTCGGGCATACGCACATAGCTTGCGAATTATATATGGCTTGCAGGTTACATACACAAGTTTCCACACATGATACTGTCTACACAGATTCACAGAATATATACACAAAAAACAGGTTGGGGAGCTAGTCACTGGTGGGG